AAAAGTTACTTCCAACAAGAAGGAACAAACTATGTTGGACCATTTGCACCAGTAGCTATAATAGAGGCTATTAGGATATTTCTTGCCTATACAACACCTATGAACTTCAAGGTCTATCAAATGGATGTGAAGTCTGCATTCTTAAATGGTGAATTACATGAGGTGGTCTATATTGAGCAACCTAAAGTCTTAAAGGATGCCAAACATCAAGACCATATGTATGTTACCCGATAAAGGACTATGTGGTCATAAACAAGCTCCTAGAGTTAATAAGAGACTGACTACATTTCTTCTTAAATCTGGATTTCAAAAAAATAAAATTGATACAACCTTATTTCTAAAGAAGGATAATGATGATCCGATTCTAGTGAAAATATATGTTAATGATATCATATTTGGCTCTACAAATCCCAAATATTGCAAGAATTTTTCTAAACTGTTGAAAATCATTTTGAAATGAGTGTGATGGGGAAACTTAACTTTTTCTTAGGATTGCCAATTAAACGAACTTTTGATGGAATTTTCATCAATCAAATAAAATAAGTTAAGGATCTTTTGAAAAAGTTCAATATGATTGATTGCACTACAACAATGACACCAATGGCCACCAAGGTAAGAATTGAGTCTGATCCCTTTGGGAAACTAGTTGATGTTAAAACCTATAGAGATATAATTAATTCTTAATTGTATTTGACAACAAGTAGGTCATATATTATGTTTACCATATGTTTTGGTGCTAGGTATAAAGCAAATCCAGAAAAATCACATTTAACTGTTGTTAAGAGAATTCTTAGGTGTCTCAAAGGCACACCCAATTTGGGTCTTTGGTATCCTAAGGAACCTATTTTTGAACTCACGAGCTTTACAAATTCAGATAATCCATGATGTAAATTTGATAGGAAAAGCACTTCTGAGAGTTATCAATTTTTGGATGATAAGGTTGTTAGTTGGACATCCAATAAGCAAAATTATGTTTCAACTTCTACAGCTGAAGCTGAGTATGTTGCAACTACAAACTATTGTTCACAAGTCATACGTATGAAGACATAAATAAAGCATTATGAATTTTCATATTATTGGTTTTAAATTTCTCAATTTATAGATTTAATTTATCAGAATATAAGAGTGGAAGCAGTTTAGATATATTTAGGGAAGAACAACGATGTATGATAAGCATATAAAATATAATCTAAAGGATTTCGCCATCATCATCATTTTGTATTGATTGAAGAGATTGAAATGCACTTGGATTGATCTTCACCGAGCTCACAATAATGTGTGTAAAATATATTCAAAAGCTTACAATGTAAAAAGTATGAGCAACTATTTATAGGCCTATAAGAACTAAGTCAAAACATTGTCCAATAGAAACTGTCCATGTGTAAAGCTGCTCTAACAAACTTTATGCATGAACGGTTGAGGATGAGTAGCTTCATAATTGAACATTGCATGGAATGTTGAGTTACGAGGTAGGTCCATAGATAGGCTGAGGTCTCTGCCTTGCAGGGTGATCATCATGTTAGGCATCTCTACACTGTCGTGTAGATCAGGTTCTAGACTTCAAGACTTATACTTTTTAAAATACTTCTACATATCAAATTTGGGTTCTAATACATATCACAAGATCCCCACTTATTGTGATTCAAAGAGAGGTATTGCAATAACATCTAATCTTGTCCAGCATTCAAAGACCAAACACATTGATGTAAGGTACCATTTTATAAAAGATCATATGAATTGATTGTGTCTTCATTTGACCCAAGGGGGAGATTGTTAGAACTAAATTTATAAGAAAGATGGATTGGAGAAGATGTTTTTTGAAAACTCTAGGTGTTGAAGAAGAGTCATATATATGAACAAGGCAAGTCATAGCTCTGGACTTGAAGAGTTAGAGATCTGGATGGACTATACTAAAGTTTGAAGTAATGATTTAGACTTATGATATCTTTGTTAGTCATGGAATGGTAATGACTAACACAACAAGTGCTTGTAGAAGAAGGTTGAATACAAACACATCATATTTTCACTTTTAACTATGTATGTTTATTATAAAAAAAAAGAATTACATATGAGATTAAGAAAGCTAGGGAGGTAAGACATGATCATAAACAATCTAGATGGTGACAAGTTTGCTAATGACTGAAAGAGTAATAGAAGATGATACCCCTTCAGATATGAAGTATTGAAATAGTCTTTTAGATGGTTGATGTTGATTTTGCCTAAAAACTATCACTCATAGTTTCTATTCAATACAGCTGAGTTGCAACATATGACAAGGATGACATTTTATATCCATCAATGCATTAAATGATGTTATCCAACTTTAACGCATATCTTCATCTAATTTGCTAATTAGTGCATGCTTGTACTCCTCATTTCATCATTTGAAGGTGATATAGATATTTGTTAACCCAACACATCCTTCAGTATGTAGAGTGAACATTAAAAGAAGTATGGTTGTTGGACCGATCTAGGGAACCGCCCACGTGATATTGTCTGCTTTGAGTTTGACTAACCCCTCACGGCTTTAAAACGCGTCACATGTAGGAGTAAGACTCCCACTTCCTTATAAGGAAGTCGAATCCCCCTAGCCTCACCGATGTGGGATGCTCCTGCATTGCTACAGGAGCGTTGGGTTTAAGAATCGCGGATTTGACTTGCTCGAGGGAACGATGAGTTTTTTTGGACCCAACATTCCCCCCCCCCACATTGGTGCGGCCCTAGCTCTGATACCAATTGTTGGACCGATCTAGGGAACCGCCCACGTGATATTGTCCTCTTTGGGTTTGACCAACCCCTCACGGCTTTAAAACGCGTCACATGTAGGAGTAAGACTCCCACTTCCTTATAAGGAAGCCGAATCCCCCTAGCCTCACCGATGTGGGATGCTCCTGCATTGCTACAGGAGCATTGGGTTTAAGAATCGCGGATTTGACCGGCTCGAGGGAACGATGAGTTTTTTCGGACACAACAATGGTTCTAAATAAAATAATACTTTACAACTTACTTTGTATGACATCCTAAACATCTTCTCATATCAGGAAAAGAGTTGGTAAGCAAACCTGTTGGATAAGATTACACGCCAAAATCGACTTGCTAGAAGTTGTATTCGTCAGAATGCTTTTGACTTTATATTGCCTTGATCTACATTTGGCTAGTTGACAATCTAATCCACGTTGGTGACTATCTTGGTCTCACTTCAACTAGTCTTCGATTTTGTTGAAAGCTTTTTGTTCTTGGATCAACACCGATAAATACAAGACCTTTACAAAGGAAAAGTCCGATCTATCTTTCTTTCCGAAGCATAAGCTACATTTTAGATTCCAACAACACATTTCTTTTATGAAGTATTAAGCTTCGATCCTGCAAAACATTCAGGTGTTGTAGAAGGTATCGCGAGACAGCCCGAGGCGGAGGAAAAAATACGAGGTTATATGGATTTCAGGTTACTAGAGCCTGATTTAAGTCCGGATACTAAATCTGATGCCATCTCCGAATAATTCATCCTGATACGAAAATGAGTAACAAGTTTGAAAAAGGACCCATATATTAAATCCGAATGTACATCAGAATAATAGTTTGGACACCAAATCCGATAGTTTATTCTGGATAAACTTACGATACCGAATCTGGATGTTGAATCTGAATAAGTTACTTTGAATCTGAATAACTGGGTCTAATTTGTTCTAAGACAGATATTATAACTAAGAATTCTTCTAAGTGTTGGATCAGATGTATTTGTATTATTATCAAATCAAATGTTTGAGACAATCAATCTTCTATAACTAGATGAAGTTCTACTCTAGTCGAATCTCTGATCAAGCTGAGGCATATGTAATTCAGAAGAGTTAATGAAGCACGTGGCAAACTTTTACTAGTTTAGTTGTTAACCAATTTAACTGTCATGTATCATGAAGAGAAAGGTTCTATTCTTTTTTTTATAAGCAAGTTGTTCATGTCAATTATAATAAAATTCTCTTAGAAAAATTCTCTCTAGATTCTAAACTCTCTCTTCTTGTAATCTTATGATTAATGAATGACATAATGAGTACGCCATTGATCCATACTTCTGTCCTTGAGTATATTTATTAATTCTATTGTACTTCCGTGTTCTATTAACTAGATTGTAGTTAGATCATTGATTCTCAAATCTCTGGGAACTTTCAAAGTCGTACAATATATTTTTAGCCGAATTCCACCATTCTGAGAGACTTTTGCGGTTTTTTTAGTTGACTTCAAGAGACTTTTTTCGGTTTTTTGATTGATTTTGAGATAATTTTTTTAGTTTTTTTTTGTTGAAGTTCCTTAGATTTTTTAACATCATTGAACACCCCTTAATTTTAACGTGTGCACCTTTCATAACTCCAAAAAAAAAAACCTACTTGCGAAAATAAGTTGAGCGCCTGCTCGGACATACATAGGTCCACCCCTGTCTAGGTCGAATGGGGATTGCAACTTATAAACAATCTATGTATTGGAAAACTCGTAACATATAAACTGTACATCTCTATGTTAAATTCCATATGATTTTGAATCATATCATTCTGATCGAGTATGAATTTATTATAATTTTTGCACTAAGGTGTCGCAAAGTTTCCCTGAAGACGAATCCACTCCAGATTCGACTTGGATTTCGATCTATTTTATATCTTAAAAATCATAAGACATGAAAGATCTAGATCTCTCATTTATGTCTTAAAAAATGATAAAATGGTATAACATCTTTTGTTTTAATTAGAGACGTTTCAATCTTTTTGAAGGCATTTTACAATTGTATCAAGACTATGAATCGACTAAACGAATAATAAATAAAACAAACTATAACCTATATTATATTAATACTCTTATAAAATTATAACATATTTTATATACATCCACCCACACTCCTTATTCTCATTTTTCAATTTACACAAAGTACAAACCAATATATATATATATATATATATATATATATATAGCCAAGGGAAACAAAGGCATAGAAGTTAGAGTTGGGATAATCAATGGCTGCCACTCCTGGACTTCTCACAAACTGGCCATGGAAACCACTTGGAAGCTTCAAGGTACAACCATTCTTGCAGACCACCCCTCCCCTCTCTTCCTCCATGCTTTATTACTTGTACATTCCAAAATTACTTCAAATTTCATCAATACCAACCGCAAGGGTGATGCCTGATTGGTTTGAGCTTGGCTCCAAAGGTCAAAACTACCACGAGGTCCCAGGTTCAAATCCAAGAAGGAATAAAAATCCCCTTGTGGTCACGGAGGTTCAAATACGGTGACTCCGGACCATCTGCAAAGTAGGTAGTCACCCTGAGATTAGTCGGCTCGAATAGCTGGTTGGATATCCAGGTTAATCAAAAAAATATCTTAACCCTTTATTTATGCTTTAAAACATGCATATTGAATGATTATTAATGATTCTTGCATACTGTTTATGTTTCAAAACAACGGTATTAACGGTATTATTTTATTTTGGGGGATAACTGAAGTACGTGTTGCTGACACCATGGGTGGTGAAGAGCGTATATGACTACATGATTGCTGATGTCAACGAGAAAGATATAACGGCAGTCGTCATTTTCCCCTTTTTGTTGACGAGAATGCTCCACAATCAAATTTGGATTTCTGTCTCTCGGTATAAAACTACCAAGGGCAAAAACCGAATAGTTGACAAGACTATCGAGTTCGAACAAGTTGACCGTGAAACAGACTGGTCATTTCTCTCTCTTTATCTCGTACATTATAAACACGCATAACAGTTTTTTGAAAACATGTTAGGCTGGTTTAGTCATTGCATTCCCTGAAAACTTTATGCCTACCACAGAAAAAATTGATGCATGCAAAATTACCAAAATGCCCTTTGCAAGGTCTTTTTTATTCATCATTCTTAAATATGGTCGAAACAAAGAAAAATTGGTTTCGAAATAAGGTTCAAAAATAGTAAGAGGTCACTTTAAAGGGAAAATTGATTGAAAAAGGAAACGTAATTTCTAGTAATTTTGCTAACGTATTCTCATAACCTTTATTATAACGTATATAATTTGACATATTATTATATATAAAATTTTGGATTAAAAAAATATAAGTAATCAATTAATTTCTAAAAATACCAATGATTTATTTATTAAAAAAATATAGATTCAACGACTTAATCATTCATAATGAGAAAGTCTAATGGTTTTTTTCAATAAAAAAACAATTCGAAAACTTAAGGGCCGTTTATCCAAATACTTATCCGATAAGCGCTTACCGGTAGGAGTCAACACTATAATCTATTTTATCATATAAGATTGTAGTATATTAAAACGGTATCGTATGCAATAATTTACCTAATAAACACTTACCCGGGTAAGAGTCCTCACCATCACTTACCGGGTAAAACTCTCTATCCCTATCATCGCTCTTACCGGATAAGATTTTCAGCCCTTGCCATATGCATCAGGTGAGGAAAATTATCCGATCCACACTTACCGGGTAAGTAAACGGTCCCTTAATCATTTAAAATAAGAAAACTTAATAATGTTTTTATTCAAAAAAAAAAAATTAAAGAATAAACAATTCAATATAGAAAAAATTGGTTGGATTCTTTTCTAAGATTTTCCATAAAAAAATTATATATATTTAAAGCATTTAAATACATGACTTAAAACATTATTAATCGTTTGTGCAGGGATGACCAAATAATATTTAATGGGTTCTTGTTTTATGTGGTATATTACACTCGGGAGGAGGTTAAATACTTACCTTTGTGGAGGTTAGATGGTGTCATTATCGTAATTTTACTACATATTGGAGTGGTGGAATTCCTGTATTATTGGCTTCATAGAACCCTCCACCACCATTTCCTCTACAATCGCTACCATTCTCATCACCATTCCTCCGTCGTCACCGAACCAATCACCTGTAAATTTCTTTCATCTTTTGCACCATATATTATTAATTGCCTTTTTTTTTTAATTAAATATGTCTTTGTTTGAATACCGAGTAAAATGCATCAAAATATAACGAATTTTGCTTTAGTTATTATCTAACGTAAAAAAAAATTACTGGTCGTCGCAATTGGCGGACGCAATTGTAGACCCGGTCGTTGCAATTGCGGATCTGGCAGACGCAATTGTAGACCCGGTCGTTGCAATTTTTAAGTAGACAGTTTTTCAAACTATTAACTTTTGAACGTGCGTTTTGAAAGTATCCTTTGTACTTTAGTTTTTGTGTGTCGGAATTTGATGTTGGGACCTACTGTGAAGGTCACATGTTACCAAAATCACGTTTAACAACGTCCGAGATAGAAAAATAAAAGACGAATCCACATGATCTCTGATGTACTAAGGGATCTTTAGGATTGCTTAGGGATCTTTAAGATTGCTTATTTGAAACAACTTATGTGTTTTTTACAAAATGGTTTATTAACTTATTATAAGTTAGAATGATTTAACTTTTTCAAGAATTCCTTATTATCGGTTTGGCACCGGTATAAACTGTTTATCCAAACACTCAAAAATGCTTATTGTCAATGTCACACTGAAATAAGTCAATAAGTTATTTTTATAAGCAATCCCAAACACCTGTATGCAATTTACTCTTCATATAGTCCAAAGTAAAGTACAAGTTGTATTGCATGATGTACAAATTATGAAATGGTTCTATGAAACATGGTTTGGACCTTGGACCGGTGGTGTAAGGCTCTTAAAATGGAAAAAGAACCGACTTTTCATACTTTTGGGCTGAAAAATCAGAGCTCATTGATGCACAATGCAGACCTTTTCTTTGCAACAAGGTCCTTTATGCATACCTATTTATGCAGAAGGCATCATTATTTATGACTATAGTATAACTATTTATGCACAAGGTACAACTAGGGTGCGTATGGTGTATAGACATAGTAGGACGAACAGTTGTTTAACATTTGGTAAGACAGAATAATACATGATAGAACAGAACAAATAAAATACCAATTTACCTGTTTATATCTTTTGAAGGCATTTTTAGTACCTACAATTTGTTGAAATTTTTTATTTTCGTTCTTGTTATTTTGAAATTAAAATTTTCATTCCTATGTTTTATAATTAATTATTGTTTTTGTCCTATGATTTAAACTTAATTGCTATTTTTTGTACTTATGGTTTATATTTTATTTCTATTTTAGTCCCTCATACTTTAAAGTGGTGTTTAGTCTCAAGGATGAAAATAGAAATGAATTGCAAAACATAGGAATGAAAACCGTAATTTTAAAACCACATGGAGGAAATCCGTAAATCTTAACAAACTACGGGAACAAAAACGTAATTTACTCTAAACTAAAAGTTTAAAGAATATAAAATACAATAGATAAAATTTAAATAAAGAATAAACTGTAATAACTAAAAGAAAATTAAGTTTTATTTTAAGGTTATATTAGTAAAATATATGTATTTTCCACCTTGTTTAATGGGGTGGGAATGTAAAATGTCTGTTCCACTTTGTTCCTATTTATTTTATATAAATTTCATATCAAACATGGAACAGTAACCCATGTTTTGTTATCCTCAATGTTAACAAAGACAACCCTATTAGACACAAATATAGATGTTACTATATATAAAATGAAATATTTTATGAATTCATTATAATAATAAAATTTTAGATTCTTTTATATAAAATAATAATTACATTTTAAAAAAAACAAATATCTCTTTTAAACATTTGTGTTAGAAAGTTCACTGTATTTGGAGTTTTCATTCTCTTTCTTACTCTCTCATTTCAACGGAAGTTTTAAAATATTTGTTGCAAAAACAGTTTAAAATTTCTGAAAGTAAGGGTGTTTATAAGTTGAGTTGATCAGGTTGAAGACATTTGAATAACCCAACCCAATATTTGCGGTTTGAAATATCTCAACCCAACTTAATCCAAAGAAAAATGGAACCCAACCCAACCCAAACCATACGGGGTTGTCGGGTTAATACTTTGGTATATCAAAATATTCATTCAACCTTGAATATGTTGTTTTCTTTAGTCTATTCATAATTTATTTTTCATCATCAACCATTTTGTATAGCTTATTCATACTTTTTAAATTTTAAGTATATCACATTCAATTAATATTCTCAATATATATATATATATATATATATATATATGTGTGTGTGTGTGTGTGTGTGTTCACGGTTACTAAACATGTATACAAAGTAACTAGTTATATAGAGATGAAGAATATATTGAAAGTATATGTATATGAAGAGGGTACGTGATGTTGTAATTGTCTAATGTACATATTAATAGAGACTCAACAATAATATAAAATAAAAGGATATCAGTTTCATCTGTTGGGTTGGATTCAAATAAAAGTAACTCAATATCAATTCAATCCCTACGGTTTGAAGATTTTACAACTCGATTAGACATCGGGTTGCTTTGGGTTGAATTATTTCATGTTGGGGTTAGATTGATCGGGTTGGTCGGATTTTTGAACACTCGTACCTGAAAATCTCTTTTATGAAGAATTTATTAAAAGTGGTCTTAATGTTTACATAAGAGGTACAACCAAATGGGCATAGGCCCGTAGCGTACAACCATTTTACACCAAAGGTATGAAAATCAATGCACACACAAAAGGTTGGACATAAATCAATAGAAATAGAAAAAAGTTGGTGATGTAGAAATAATGAGCATAAAGGTGCACATAATAGGGTGTAAAAATGATATATATATATATATATATATATATATATATATATATACATGTAAAGAGAGAAAAATTCAATTGTAAACCGATTTTTGAGGACAAAGAGAATGTGACATGCGTCCTCGGTGTCCACATTCAGTATGAATTTTCGAATGCATTCAGTACGAATAACGAAGGTGGAGTTCATGAACTATTAATGATGAGTGATACAACATTCATGATGAATAACACACACTCATGATCCATGTTAAATTGATTCATTATCCATGACGAATAAAAAACATTCATCATTGTGAATAACATGTGGATGCAAGGGACACGTGTAGAGATGGAAATTTTACCCGTCGGAGCGGTACCATGAGTTTAACGGGGCGGGAATTCCCCATTTTGACAGGTAACAGGGCGGGGACGGGGTTTTATTTTCATACCCGAACTGGGGTCGGGATGGAGTTGGGGATGGCATTACTCACCCCTAATCCGGCCCCGATTAATATTTTTTTGTTAAATATATGTATATATTGTGTATAAATAAATATGTATATGTGTATGTATGTAGATTTGGGATCATGTGAGACCAGTTTGTTTTCGTGAGATCAATTTTTAACACTTGAAACTTCATAGCAAAACACTGTGAAAGTTCTGATTTTTTTCATCATCACATTGTTTTGTTGTGAAGTTTCAAGTGTAAAAATGTGGTCTCATGGGTCTCACGAAAACAGACTTGTCTCACGTGAATCCAACCCTATGTATGTATGTAAACATTTAGTATTAAATGACATACTTGATTTTTAATATTGGTAGTTAATAATATAGTGACGATTTATTATAATTTTGATTTTAAATTACATTGTTTTTGTAAGTAAATCGGTACCCAATAGAACCCGCTGAGGATTCCATTCCCCCGAACCTGTCGGGTAGTAACCTAGGATTCCCGACTTCTTTTAAATGAGAGAGAAATCAAACCCTAGACACGGGGCATAAACGAGGGTCGGGGACAGGGATGCATTACCTGCCCGATACCCACCCCGTTTCTATCCCTAAACACGTGTCGAGCTAGCCTTCGTCCTCCGGTTCACAACCGAAACTCGGTTTTCACTTGAACCCGCCCTGTATATATATGCACAAAGAACAACTATAAGTAAGCACAAGGTGGAACAATTTAGGCACAACGTACAACTATTTAATGCAGAATGTACAACCATCTAATGCACAAGGTACAACTGATTGTTACACAATATACAACTAAACAAGTACAAGGTACAACTATCCATGCACAAAGTACAACTATATAATCTATTCACAAAGTGCAACTATTTACTTGGAATGTACAACTATTCAATGTATAAGGTTCAACCATTCATTGCACAATGCACAAATATATGCACAAGATACACCTATAAGCACAAGGTGCAACCATCTATTTACCAGGTACAACTATCTTTGCACATGGTACAACTATTTAGTACAACAATGTACAAGTATTTATTGCACAACAATCGATGGCAGCGGTGATTCATCCATTTGCGGAGCACATGGCGTACTTTGCATTGTTCGCAATTCCGTTGACGACAATAAGCCTGACCAGGACCGCATCGTTGGCTGCATTTGGTGGGTATGTGACCTTCATCGACATAATGAATAACATGGGCCATTGTAACTTTGAGCTCATCCCCAAATCCGTCTTCGCGATCTTCCCCCCTCTTAAGTACATCATGTACACCCCATCGTAAGTCCCACCTTTTTACGTGATTTATATAGTATACGTGGGAAGAATCACCAACGGATTTTTAGAATAATTAAATTCCAACATCTACTGAAATTTAAAAAAATGATCCTTTTGATTTTTAAAATACAGAAACCAATTATTGTCGTAAAACCATAAGGGAAAGATCGGAGAAAAAAATCCAAAGGACTTTCATATTTTGAGCGATGAAGCACTTGGAATTTTTTTTGTTACATACTTTGATCTAAATGTTTGAGATATCAAATCTAAGCTACCAAAAATGACAGTTTTAAAAGTACACTTAACAAAATAAAAAATCAGCTCAAAGTATGTTATATTTTCATGCAATTTGCTCCTATTTATTTAACTTATATAGGAACTTATTTGAGTTTTAAAATGTTTTTTTCCCATAGGTACCACTCTTTGCACCATACTCAATTTCGAACAAATTACTCACTTTTCATGCCGTTATACGATTACATATACGGTACGATGGACAAGTCTACTGACATACTGTACGAGAAATCACTGTGTCGAAAAGAAGAATCACCAAACGTAGTGCATTTAACGCATCTAACAACACTGGATTCCGTCTATCACATGAGGCTGGGGTTTGCCTCCTTGGCTTCTAAACCGCATACTTGTTCAAAATGGTATTTGTGGATACTATGGCCGGTTACGATTTGGTCCATGTTGATCACTTGGATTTATGGAAAAACGTTCGTCGTCGAAAGAAACGTCTTCAAAAACCTCAAACTACAAACATGGGCGATACCAAAATATCGGATACAAGTATGCATTTTGATCAACTTCTCTTTTTGTTTTGTTTCAAGATTTCTAATGCATTTGTATGTGTTTATTTGTAGTACCTTATTGAATGGCAAAGAGAAGCTATTAATGGCTTAATTGAGGCAGCCATTCTAGAAGCTGAAGGGAAGGGGATAAAGGTGCTTGGTCTTGGTCTACTCAATCAGGTCTTACACATAATCTTTGCAACAACCAATGAATACAATGTGTATTCCATATACTCATAATGAATTACGATGAATACTCATAATTAACTAATGAATATTCATATATGAATATTCATTTGCGTTAGGAGATTTGGGTCCCATAAGAAATCATACAGACTTCGATACGAATTCAGTATGCCCCTAGGATCCCGCAACCGTTAGGGGTGCAAAACCCTTGACCCCCGAGTTCTAGCTAGTTTATACAAATGTGACCTTCAAATCTCCTGACCCGTGTTATAGCTTAACTAACAACACCTTCGTTCTCTTGCAAATCCAATTACACCAAACAGCCCGAGAATTTCACTAAAATCACCAACGATTGGTTCTTTAGTTGTCAAAATATTTACGATTCTCAAACTAACCACCACCTGTATATATATGTACTTAAAAATTAAACTTTATTAACATTTTAATGGGTTCTTAGGGGGAAACATTGAACAGAAGTGGGGAGTTCTTCGTAAGGAGAAATCCTGGGCTAAAAGTGAGGGTGGTGGATGGGAGTAGTTTGGTAGTTGCAGTGGTCTTAAACAGCATTCCAGCAGGCACAACTGAAGTTGTTTTTAGGGGAAACTTCAACAAGGTTGCGTCCTACCTTGCGCTTGCTCTATGCCGCAGGGGCATCAAGGTGATTTCACTTATCGAACGTATGCACGTATATAAACGCACGTCTGTGCGATTTCTCAGAATCTCTGAATCCCGATATCCATGCATCACAAAACCATCCTACAGTTACTTGCATGCATCATAAAATCATGTTTGTTAACTATAAACTAGCTTGTTTTTAGCTTATTGAAAAAGACGTGTATTTAAAAAGCTACTTCAGATGTCTTATTGGGTTTTTCTATCCCTTTTATCAAATTATGTCCCTTGTATTTTACATAAATACCCCTTTATATTCACTTTTTAGTTCATTTGATATTGTCATATATCTTATCAACTAGTTTTTACCAAAAATTGCTACTTTATTAGCTAGTTTATCAAAACTTTTCGGTGAACAAGTAGTTCATCAAACCACTACAACAAAATTGGGTTATAGGACTAATTTCTAAGCGTCCTAATAAACCTCTTTATAGGACTTAATTTATAGGACCAAAAAAATAAAACGTCCGCGTTGTAATAAGTTTATATGACGTTTTTTAGAACAATTTTAATATAAAGCGTCTCATTAGCAACTTTATAGGACACTATTTGAAAAACTGTCCTATAAAAACAAATGTCCTATAAAAAAATCAAGTTTATAGGACACTTTCTTAAAAGTGTCATATAAAGTTGCTAACACGACACTTTGTATTAAAAATATCCTAAAAACCTTGTTAAGACGTCCAAAAGCGTCATATAAACTTATTACAACACTTTTAGATATGACATTATATATTTTGGTCCTATAGATTAAGTCCTATAAAACGGTCTATTGAGATGCTTAGAGATTGGAGGTGTCCTATAACCCCAATTTTGTTGTAGTGAACGTAGCCAAAATCTTCTTTAAAGTTTTAGATTAACGCTCTAAAAAATAGAGTTGCATCCAGAAAAAAGAGATGTTTGTAGCATAAAACAATCGTAAAATCGGAATATGTATCAATTTTAGATATTTCTTGGTTTTATCACAGGTTGGTATATCTCAAAAGGACCATTACCAAATGTTGAAATCCAAGCTCAAATCGACAGACGACCAAGAAAAGTTGTTCCTTTCACAGACTTACTCTCATAAGGTAAGTTATCTTCTCGTGATCATCTCAAATAGCAAATAATCATAAATTTCCAACAACAATTGCTCAAATATTGCATCATTCACACGGGAGATGATGCTTTTTTTTTTTTTTTTTGAAGTATATAATATTTATATACTACAAATCGTTATGCATATTCCTAACATCTGGTGAGTTTTGAACCCTTGACCTTATGAAACCGTAAACCCAAGTGCCATAGGGCCAATTACCCTTTGGTTCAAATGGAATGTTAGTTGCTAAAAGATTGTGTTTTGTGATGAAGATATGGGTTGTGGGTGATGGAGTGAGCAAAGAAGAACAAATGAAGGCATCAAAAGGAACCCTAATCATTCCTTACTCTCAATTCCCTCCAAAGAAAGTGTGCAAAGATTGCTTTTACTACACCACACCATCAATGTTGGCTCCCAATTATCTTGAGAATGTTGATTCTTGTGAGGTTTGTACCACCAACTACAACTTTTTCATAAGTTAAAAAAATATAAAATTTACCATAATAAAACTGGTTTTTAGGATATCTTATTGCGTTCTAATAGAGTATTTAATGAAAATTTAAGTGTATAATTATCAGAGTTGTGTTTTTTTTTTTTATCTAAAGACGTCATGATAAGTTGTTAGGGCAAAGTTAGATGACCTAACAAGTTTCGAAAAACCTAATAGGTTACAAAAAAATACATCTTATTAAATTTTTTATATGATACTTTAAGTCTAATTAGCCTTTCATATATATATATATATATATATATATATATATAGGGTATATTTCTTTTACAACCTTGTACATTTGTACAACCTTTGCAACCCAATTAATTGAGATATTTATAGAAATGATTGGATTTCATTTATTATGATTTGAATATTTATGGAATATGAATAGAGTTTATTAATTTGAATATTTATGGAATATGAATAGAGTTTATTAATTATGATTAATACTTTATATATATATATATAGGATTGGGTTCAGGTGAGACCAAGAGCTTTTCGTGAGACCCGTAAGACCAATTTATGTTCATTGATCAACTTTATAAGCTAATAATCTAATGGTCTAAAATTGTACGGTGACAAGTTTGTGATTATTGAGAAGTCTCGTGGCGTTTATGAATGTTCCGATTATCATATTGTAGATCTAATCCAAGGGTTGAGAATTGGTCTTACGGGTCTCACGAGAAACCCTTCGTCACACACACAGATATATATATATATATATATTTATATATATATATATATTTATATATATATATATATATATAACCAAAAGTTATTTTGAGAGGTGGTAAATATTTGAGAAGTAAAGAAGTGATCATAACCCTCCATACGGTCAAGATCGGATTTTACTGGTCAACGATTACGGCTTTGACTTGTCAAAAATTGGGGTTATGTGAGAAATAGAAGGGGTAATTTTGTAACTTTTACAAATAGACGGCAAGCGGGTTCATATGCGAACCCATATGATTCACATATGAACTATATGTTCATATGTAAACCCGTGTAATTCACATATAAAATAGGTTAACTGATTCACATATGAACTATTTTAACTGATTCACATATGAACCTGTGTGATTCACATATAAACTAATTAATTGATTTTCACATATGAACCATTGTGATTCACATATGAACTAATTAATGAATTAGTTCATATGTGAATCATAATGGTTCATATGTGAAAATCAATTAATTAGTTTATATGTGAATTAGTTAAAATCACACAATTAATTAGTTAAAATATGAATCAGTTAAATAGTTTGCAAAAAACTAATTAATGAAGTCACATATGAACATAGAGTTTATATTTATAAAAGTTATGAAACTATCCCTTCATCTTCCGCATACCCATGCGAGGAACTATCCCGTGCTTCACGGCCAAAGTCTCAAATGTTGGCTAGATGAAAAGCTAGAATCACTTCCTTACTTCTTAAATGAACATTTCCACACGCATACACACACATATAGAAGAAAGATCGTGCGAGAAAATGAGAATAAATTAAGTCACATAATCCATTAATTCAAAAATAACATAAATAAAAAATAAAAATAATTTTAAAAATTAGGATAATTATCATCTGAATCGGATAAATCTTTGAAAATATAATTTTATTATTTAGATTTATTTATTTTTTAATTTAATAAATACATAATTATTTTATAAAATTTTATATAACTATTTTTCTATATATATTTTGATAATGAAAAAAATCAAAATTTTCATCAAATATCATTGTGATATCTACAATTAATTTATAATATTTTTACCATTTTTCCTGTAATTTTTGGATCTATATTCTAAATCACATGTGATAAAAAAAACTTCGTTTAATATATGATATATTACATATCACATATAATCAATATGATTCACTATGTGAATTTTTGTACATTTCATATATGATAATATATGTTTGAATACAAATGTGTATTATCACATGTGATAATATTTACATCACAAAAGATCTATATATGTACCATTATCACATATGATTAACATATGAATTGATTGCAGATATCACATGCGATATTTGATGAAAATTGTGAAATAATTTTATCAAAAGTATATCTAATTTTTTTATATAAAACTTACCAAAAAAAGTTATTAATTAATTATAATTAAAATAAATAAATAAATAAATCTAACAGATATAATGAGATTTTTAAGAATTTATTCAATTCAAAATGATAATTATCCTAACTTCTAACTATTTTTCATTTTTTATTTATGATATTTTTTAATTAATGGATTGTGTAGCCCATGTTTCTTCTCGTCTTCTTAGAAATTGATCATCTTCTCGTTTGACAATGCCCATATATATATATAGGTGGTTTACTTCGCAAACTAAGTCATTTATACAAATCATTCTCATTTTTCGATTTCATTGTTTAATTTAATGAAATTGTTTCATAAATTTGTTTAACCTGATGAAATTGTTTCTTATATTTTGTTTCTATGTAAAAATGAAATTGTTTGATGTATTTATCATTTTGATGAAATTTGTTTTTTAAAATTAACATAATGAAGATGATAATATCCATAATTAATACCCTCCACGGTAAAAATGACTAATCAACATTCATAATTAAAAAAGTGGGAAAAAGTTATGATTGGTTGAATGAGGTTTGCACGATTTATACAAATGGGGAGGTTTGTTCTTGATCACTTTTAATCTCATGTTCACCCATGAATTGCGATTTAGAAGGGAATTGATCTGATGCATCTCGATGCACCTAATTAGTGTTGACATTTAATTAGAATTGGTCCAAGGTGGATATCTCTTCTTATATTTCTCACCATAGCTTCTCTTCTCACCGGAACTCAACAACCCCCC